CTGTCAGCTGTGTGTCTCTACCTGTCTCAGGTGTGTCTGTCAGGTGTGTCTGTCAGCTGTGTCTCTCAGGTGTGTCTGTCAGCTGTGTGTCTCTACCTGTCTCAGGTGTGTCTGTCAGCTGTGTCTCTACCTGTCTCTCAGGTGTGTCTGTTAGGTTGTGTCTCTACCTGTCTCAGGTGTGTCTCTCTACCTGTCTCAGGTGTGTCTGTCAGGTGTGTCTCTCTACCTGTCTCAGGTGTGTCTGTCAGCTGTGTGTCTCTACCTGTCTCAGGTGTGTCTGTCAGGTGTGTGTCTCCACCGGTCCCCCAGCTGTGTCTCTCAGGTGTGTGTCTCTACCTGTCCCCAGGTGTCTGTCCCTAAGGACCTGGTGGCGGTGATGAGTGCTGTGAGAGACGGACAGATGGTGGACCCTCAGGACAGCAGCAGGATCATCTACAGGTTCAGACAGACGGTGGGTGTTCACCTGTACTTCACCATCATCCTCCTCACCTGTCCTCAGGTGTGTGACCTCTGTGTGACCTCTGACCTCAGGTGCCCATGCCGTCCTACCTGATAGCTGTTGTGGTTGGAGCCTTGGAGAGCAGGTAGCTTCTGACACAGCTGTTTGATGATGTCATCATGTTACCTGTGCAGGTAACGGTGTCTCTGTGCTCTGATTGGTCAACAGACAGATCGGCCCGAGGTCCAGAGTCTGGTCTGAGAAGGAGTTAGTGGACAAAGCAGCGTTCGAGTTCTCTGAGGTGCGTTACTATGGCAACAGAGATTGTCCTCATTAGGACAGGTTTATAGAGAGGACTCACCTGTCCACCTGTCCAACAGACTGAGACCATGCTGAAGACCGCCGAGGACTTGGCGGGACCGTACGTGTGGGGTCAGTACGACATCCTGGTTCTGCCTCCGTCCTTCCCCTACGGAGGGATGGAGAACCCCTGCCTCACCTTTGCCACGCCCACTCTGCTGGTAACATACACCTGTCCTTACATGTCCTTACATGTCCTCACCTGTCCTTTCCTGTCCTCACCTGTCCTCACCTGTCCTTACATGTCCTCACCTGTCCTTACATGTCCTCACCTGTCCTCACCTGTCCTTACATGTCCTCACCTGTCCTCAACTGTCCTTTCCTGTCCTTTCCTGTCCTCACCTGTCCTCACCTGTCCTTACATGTCCTCACCTGTCCTTACATGTCCTCACCTGTCCTCACCTGTCCTTACATGTCCTCTCCTGTCCTCAACTGTCCTTTCCTGTCCTTTCCTGTCCTCACCTGTCCTCACCTGTCCTTACATGTCCTCACCTGTCCTTACATGTCCTCACCTGTCCTCACCTGTCCTTACATGTCCTCTCCTGTCCTCAACTGTCCTTTCCTGTCCTTTCCTGTCCTCACCTGTCCTCACCTGTCCTCAACTGTCCTTACTTGTCCTTTCCTGTCCTCACCTGTCCTCACCTGTCCTCAA